TGTAACTGCACATGTTGTCATAACTGCAAAACTACATCTGCAATCCTCAGGTCAAGAATTGATTCTCCATTGAAGCAGAACTTGTGTCTCTAATCCTTGTGTGATAATTTATTGACGTCGAACACAAAACTTAAATGGGTTTCAGGTAAAATTGAAATTTAATTCACAAACTTTTTTGATTACCGACATGACAAACGGCAATTTCGGTCCTATTCAATGAACAAGAGTCGTCAAATAATTCAGAACAACAATAAATTTAGTTTTTTAAAGCAATTCACCATTTCCTCCAGAAAATACCAGCTTACCTTGCTGTGACTGATTCCAAAATTCTAACATGGGTTGCTTATTTTCCTTCCAGAACTTTCGTAACGTGACTCGGTATGGATAACGGCAGCATGAGATGTGAGCTCGAATCGCCACAACGCCTTTGGTAAAGTAAAGGAAATCTTGCATGCTTCCTAAAACATTTTTTATTGATTACAGCGTATTAACTATTACCTATATTACCAACCTTGGTAATTTGCAAAGATAATTTGTATTTTACGTTCAGATGGATGATGATATGAAGCACAAGTTATTTGGCAAGAATTTTCATGCTGTAATCATTGAAACTGCCATGAAGCCATCTCTGAGAAATGAGTGGAAGAGTGAAAATGGCATAGAGCAATTTAGGATGATCAAAAATGTTTTCATCCGGGAAAGTTAAAATGTTGTTACCTCTCTGCTTGAAAAGGAAAGTTCTACCTTAATATGCGCTCCCAGTGCTAAAATATGAAAACGAAACCTGGAACCTAAGTCTGTAAGCTATTCATAAACTTCAAGAATCGTATAATGGAAAGATGCATGTATTGAATAACAAGTAAAGATAGGAATATAAATGAATTATGCAAGAATCTGTCATGTGATTTTGCGAGTAAAGAAGTCAAAGCACCTTAAAAGAAGAGCCGACCTTTTCTGGACCAAAGAGACATTAGACGGGGTTCATAGAGACAGTAAACAGCCCGCAGGAAGAACTCAAGATCGATGACAGGATAAGGTGAAGAAGTTCGCTGGATCTAGATGGACCAAAGATTCTTTCTTCGCAGAAAACAGAAGTCCATAAAAAAAGTTTTGGATAGACCTTCATTCAAAAGTAGATTGATAAAGACCTTAATTAATTAATGATAATTATCAAAACTCTGCAGTTGCCAAGCCCAAGTTTGGATGAAAAAGGAGGAAGGTTGAGTACTGCGACGAGATCTCCCGTAAAACGTACTCACCCTTTCCTCATTGTCCTCCCGTTCTCGACAGTTATCCAGACTCGGTCGGCTCAGTCGTTGCCTGGGATACCAAAGGTCGCGCGGGCTGTTGGAGAATTTTTGAGCAGCGAAAAATCGGCAATTAGAATCTGCTTCGTGCCATCATGCGGCTGGGGTCGTAGCACCACCGAAGATCGACAAGAAGTCAAAGTAGATACCAGCCAATGACGGAGTCGGTACCCATTCTGAACGGACGAGACAAACAGCTCAAGGCTATTGTAGCTCTTCAGACAAGGTTCCACGTGAGTGACACCGATGGGAATAGGGAAATTAGAAAACCTACTCACTCAGATGGAAAGAGCAGGAGATAGTAAAAATCTAGGCTGAAAGGCAATGACTCGTTTAGTTGGGCTTTCGTCAACGAAACGCCAGGGTTCAAAAATTCAGAACCTTTACGGGTGGAAGCTATTCTACTGAAGTATTGATTCAAAGACCCCCGTTCCGGTGGATCGAATCACTGGATAAAAGCCTCTCTGAGGAGGGGTGGTAATCCCCAAACTGAAGTTACAACGAGGAAAAGCGTTGATCTTTTTAGATGTCTGTGAACCCACTTTGAAAGGACAATTTGAGTCTTTTCTGGAAGAAGTAGAAGAGGGTCTAAAGGAAGTGCCTACTACAGAATCCATCATTCTGATTTACGAGTTTAATGCATATCTCGCAGCAGACACTGGAAAGCGGAAAGGCGTGATTGGAAAGAAAGGTCCTAATGATCTCAGCAATAACAGGAATAAATGTTGCTCTTTTGTGCAAATGACGGACTATCCATTATGAACACCTTCGTCGAGCATCGAAACGTGCATCATTGCACCTGGTGTAGGAAGGCTTCTAAAAATGAATGAATGATCGATTTCATAATCGTAACGTTTGGCATCGACGCGCTGTAATGCACGCCGGAGTTAGTGGGGGAAGGGGGCAGAGCTGTCAACCGATCACTAACTTACTGCTGGCACTCTACACTGAGAGATGGAGTACCCCACGACGATCTAGTGGCACAAACACCCAGATAATCAAATGGAAATTATTATCTTTGCGGACACAAGGACAAAACTTGCAACTATCGCGATGAACCACCGTTTGACGTGATGACAGTTGATTTGAAACCGAGTGGAAGCTCTTTAAAGAGCGGTTTACTCGAGGCTGCTGTTGAATGCTGTTGTTTAAACGAGCTGGCCAGCGCCTGAGGGTCAAAAATGAACTTCCTGGTAGACAATTGGCTGCCAGCGATGGTTGCATCAAGAGGTTGTTTGGAAGCAAAGAACCTTCAAATTGAATGCAGTACAAAAGCTCTAAGGGGGCAAAAAAAATAATGGCCAGAGCGAGGACCAGTTCCCGGAAAAAGTTCTTGTAAAGTGAGGTGTTGGAGTCGATATCAAGACGGAAAACAAGTTATTGTAGCAAATCACTCGTCCCTCCAAGATAGAAAGACAGGAAAATCTGAGATTCCTGAAAAGCAGCCCCATACATCTTCTTACCAAACAACACAAAATACCTTGGCGATGGAGCGAATAATCTGAGGAACTCCTTAACCCTGAGCACTCCTGAAGAGCCACAGGAGACAGATAAGTTTAAACGATGAATTTTGTCCGTTCGCTTCTAGATATCGTGCAGAAAGAACAAGAATTCACGGAATTTCGAATTTTTCTATTCATTGATTTGCTAATGGGCGATGGCTGGCTGAGCTGAATGATCGGAGAGTTGAAAGATCAAGGACGCCAATGATAGTAACGATGATTACTTAATACATAATTATATAAACCGTAATTGTTTGAACGCTCCGCTCCGTTTATAATGCCGCTCGGATAGAAGTCAAGACTGTTCGGGCAGAACGAGCCGTTGACCAGTCGCCTGTGCGCTTTCGAATAGGCCCTGGCAACCTGGCGAAAAACGTCGTCGTCCGGCGTGGCGCTGTACTTCGGTGCAGTCCCATCTGAAGCGATCGACGTGAGGTAGAATGGGAGTAAGAAAGTCACTTACCTGTCACGTGATCGAACGGATAACTGACGACCATCGAACCACCGTAGAAGGACAGCATTAAGGAGATGGATAGCGAGTCGACCCACTTGATGATCGCCTTTGTTTCCGGCTGTAGTTTACCCATGTCAAACTGCCAAATTCCAGGGAAATTTGTCGAAATTTGTACGCCATTGGCGTTGTTTCTATTTGGAGATAGGTACAAACGTTTAGGCGCGCGCTGAATTTGCCTTTACCGTCCGTAGGAAACGTCGCAGGCACCATGTGAGGCGACTGCAAAGCCGTCAGGGTTGGCCAGTGGAAACAGATGTACTCTGGTCTGGTCGAGTAACCGCGTCACCAACGGATCTACCCCGTACGATTGCAGGACGAAAGTCAGGAAACGGAGTAGCAGTTCTTTCCCAACGGGCTGAAAAAATAGACAGCAAAAGTCGATATATTCCTGACATATATTCTTCATTACAGACAAGGAAGATTTAACTACTTTCTGGTTAAGAAGTTGTTGAATCACGGGCCAAAACAGCGGCATGGGCCAGAGGCACACCTTCGGCTCCAGACGCCATAACAGCCGCGATCAACATAGCCCACAGCAGAAACCAACCAGGTTCATCCTGAAGAAGCTCTGAGAGACGAGCCGAAATGGCGGTACCGGCCAATCACCTGATTGGTCAACATTTTCGCTTGCGTTTGTGTGTAAATGAACCGTTTTAATGAGTTTTGCAGATTTCAGTACGAACTGACGCAGAACAAATCAATCAGTCTTCGAATACATTCGGCATCCTTCACGGAATATAAGAGTAAGAAATGAGAGAAGCAGGGAACATTAAATAATGCATCAGGATATGACAGATGTAGGCACAAAAACGGCGGAAAACACTTCCGGAATAAGGATTATGAAGATCGGTCGAAAAAATCATGAAGAAACGAAGAGAAATAAAGACAGCATATCTCCGTGTTCACCTACGGTCACATAGGACCATGAGTAAGAACCCAGGTGCTGGGTACGTGCACATAAATTGGGCCTTCTGAGACGACTCGCTGGCCTTACACGTCTCGACATGGTCCGGAATGCAGACATCCGCGAGACCCTTGGTGTACAGCCGCTGCTTCTCCAATTGAAAAATCACAGCTACTATGGTTTAGGCATGTGTTGCGAGTGCCTCCAGAGAGGAAGGCTAAGTAACTGTTTCTTACGAAACTGACCAGCAGAAGGCCCAGGGAACGGCAAGGATTAACCTGGTGCAAATATATGGAAGGAGTCTGTTCCAGACTCCAGTTGTCATCTGCCGATGCTCACACTTTGGCACAAGATCGGGAACGTTGGAAGCACTGTCTGATTCCGCTGCCTCCTTGACCAGTAAGGATAAGCGGCTATAGAAGATGAAGATTATTTGAATTCATACTCATAACGACAACAATAGATTAGAGATCAAAAATCGAATACGTGGAACTTGACTAAACTTCAAGTAAAGTTAAATGAAAGACTACGAACATTCAACTGCAGATTGACAAAGGAAACTTCTGGAAACAACCGAGACATGAAGAAATTAAATCAAAGGTGGACTGGTGGGAAAGGGCAAATTTTAATTGTAAAAACAGTAGACGTTACTGTAATCAGAGACATGCAAATGATTCTAAAGAGAGTCAAAAGTTTCTGTGGAAAGCAATAAAAAGGCGAAAGCAGCAGCATCATAGATGACATTGCGAGCTTGAGAGCTTAATGATAGAAATGAAGTTTGAAGAAATTCCAGCTATCTTGCCAGCGAAGAAGGTCAGTCCTGGTCAAAGCATTGGCATGCATGTTTTGACGTTGCCTTAAGCAACTAAAAATTCTAAACGATTGAAACACACATAGGTGGTTCTACTACAGAAAGAAAGAGGCAAAGTGGATCTGAAGAACTACAGGTTTATCAGTTTGTTACTAATCACTCACAGAATTTTCGCAAAGATAATAACAAACAGACTTCAAGAAAAACTGGACGGTACACAGCCAGAAAGAGCAAGCGTGATTCAGAGGTAAATTAGTGCGATGAACAGTGTTCAGGTGGCACAACAATTAATTCTGACAAGCAATGAATATCAGCTTCGTTTGTTGTTGGGGTTGGTCGATTTCGAGAAGGCTTTCGACAACGTTTTGCATCTGGATTCCTTGCGGAGCCAACAAATCGAGAAAAGATACAGAGGCCTCGTCGCTATCGTTTACAACGATGCAACTTTAAGCGCAAGGAAGTTCGAAATCGAACAGGGGTATAAGAAATGCACACCATCGGCGTCATTCACAACGGAGTAAGGAGAGGTTCTCAGAACACTTCTCTGGGAAGATGAATGAGTGAGCGTAAATGGGAACCACTTAAATCGCTTGCGGTTTGCAAACGATGCTCTGAACCTCTGAAGCATATCAGAGGAACTCCAAAGAAGAATTCAAGAGGTCGGTATGAAAGTGGAACTGAAAATAAACGTGCAAAAGACCGATGAACAAGAAGAAGATTGTTAAGCAACCAAGTGACCTCGCAACCTGTTGAAGTCAACAGATTTAGGCCGTCTTTGAAACAGATCACCTCTGCAACGGAAAATCGACTATGTGAAATCAACAGAAGGGTTAAATGGTATATGGCACTTTTGAAGACTAAAAATTCTCTTATCGAAGAGATGATCAGTGTGTGATCCAGTTGCTACCTCTGGCTGCAAAAAATGCCTCAAGTCTGAAAGTTGCTCATTGGCCGCAAAATATGAAACGCGGTATGGAGGGAAGCATGCTGAGAATAACGAGACCAAATAGGAATGAACGGATAAGAGCACAAACGAGGGTGTCTGCGATGTCATTGCCCCAATGAAGTG